GCCCTGTGTATCTCCTAATCGATATAACCGGCCTGCTCTCGTCTATCCCATATGCTCCACTGAGATCCAACATCTAGTTTCAGGGGGCCTGTGGAACTGCCAGTCAGCTGTTCCTAAGGCTGACTTCATCTCTGGCTACGCCTCCCTGCAGTCTCTGGATTTCCTTGCTCTCACGGAGACCTGGATTACTCCATTCAACACATCCACCCCAGCAGCTCTCTCCACAGCATATTCCTTCACCCATACACCCAGACCCACTGGCAGAGGAGGTGGCACTGGTCTCCTGCTCTCTCCCAAATGGAGCTTTTCCCTCTTCAAGCTACCTAACTTCACTCCTTCCACCTTTGAATTCCATGCCGTCACAGTAACCCATCCTATACAATTAACCATTGTTGTTCTCTACCGTCCACCAGGCGCCTTGGGGGACTTCTTGGAGGAATTAGATAATCTCCTCTCACACATCCCTGAAACTGGCCCTCCCACTGTACTTCTCGGAGACTTCAACCTCCAGACTGGGAAGATATCTGAACTAACATCTCTTTTAACCGCCTTTGCTTTCTCACTGTCTCCATCCCCACTAACTCATAAAGCTGGCAATGTCCTTGATCTCATATTCTCAAGGAACTGCACTACTTCTAACCTCTCTGTAAACCCGCTTCACACATCAGATCACTTCTTAATTTCATTCTCTCTACCCCTTTCCAAACATAACAAACTAATCTCTTCTAACTCTGCACCTGTCCGCCGTAACCTTCGTTCCCTCTCCCCCTCTACCCTTGCCTCATCGGTGCTCTCAGCCCTCCCTTCCTCTGACTCGTTCCAACTCCTGCCTCCAAACTCTGCTGCAGAAACTCTCCTCTCTACTCTCTCATCCTCTCTGGACTCTCTCTGTCCTCTCACATCTCGGCAGGCTCGTCAGTCCCCTCCTGCTCCCTGGCTAAATGACGCACTAATAGAGTGCTAATAGAACCATCCTTCAGGCAGCAGAGCGGAAAAGGTGGAAATCCAAACACCATGACGACCTCCTAACCTATTAAGCTCTGCTGTGCACTGTTATGGTGTAAATATAACCTATATACCAATTGGATCAAATATAAAAGTCAGCCGAATTAAGGTTGATACTGCAAGGAGACGTATTATGTGAAAAGAAATGGAAGATGTTGTTTAATTGCTGATATATTTATGATCCACGTCACATATTCAGTTTCTGTGGCTGTTCTTCCTGTTTGTCCAGAAGTCTTCTCATCAGGGCTCTGTAAATAAAGAACTAAGGCAGATGTGTAATATGTAATGCAGCCGAACCGTGTATTACAATGCCGTTATGTGATGACTTCCAAAGAGAAAAGCAAGCACACTCGGAATAAAGTATTATTTTCTTTTTTTAAATGTTTTTTGGATTTTATATTGCATTAACACCATATCCCAACATGCATTGCGGCTAAATAATCCAATCACTGAGCTTCTAGCTGAGGATCTTGGGTAATCAGTTCAGTGGGTTTGTGTTGTGTATCGCGATGATGCTCGAAATGTCCCTTATAGGCCTACGTCTGTTTCCGGTGACTTTATATTGAAATTCAGTTCCTGAGAAACGGCTAAAAAGCCTGAGATTATAGAATTAAACGAATAAATAAAAACAAGGATAATTGTGTGTTATTGAGTAAATGACAGTGTGTTATTCAGAAAAGAATAACAAATTAGAAGGAAAAATAGATTAAAAAAAATACAGATTTCATTATTCTGAGGCTCCGAGCCCTATTTCTTTTACTCACAGACGGCAAAAAAAGTCAGACATTATACGATTTAAAATAAAAACAATAATCGTGGCTTGGTATGCAACTAGCCTGTAGCCAGCATGTGTAATTCTGGGGGGGCGTTCGAGTCCAGTTTTGGATGGTCTGCCGTGGTTTCGTTCCATTTCACAGAGCTTGACGCTCGGCGTAACCTTGGCGCACTGCCACTCCAACATCCAATCCCAGAGCTTGAAGATTAATCACAGGGTTTGTCAACAGGACTGTAGTCCCAAACAATAGCTGGGGATTATGGGTAGTGTAGTGTCTTCGGCCATCCTAAACTCAGATTTTCACACATATCACATTAACACCATATCCCAACGTGCATTGCGGCTAAAACATCCCGAGCTTCAAGCTGAGGATCTTGGGTAATCAGTTTACCGTCTGTTTCCGGTGACTTTATTTACAGCTAAAAAGCATGCTAAAAAGCACAAGATTATAGAATTAAACGAATAAATAAAAACAAGGATAATTGTGTTTTATTGTTGATTAAATAACAGTGTGTTATTTAGAAAAGAATAACAAATTAGAAGGAAAAAAAGATTTTAAAAAATACAGATTTCATTATTCTGAGGCTCCGAGCCCTATTTCTTTTCCTCACAGACGGCAAAAAAAGTCCGACATTATACGTTTTAAAATAAAAACAATAATCGTAGCTTGGTATTGAGTAAGAACATGTTTTTATGAACCACACAGCTTCCGGTCTACCAAGACCCGACGGACAAAACGTGGCGTATCATATGTACGCAAAACTCGGCATCAGATCTCAATGGGAATGGTTAGCGTATCATATGCACGCAAAATAGGACTTCCGCGTATTTATTGCACGCATTTCCAATGTGTAAAGTCGTGTCATTTGTACGCAGACTGAAGAGAGTGGGTTGCTGAAATAGACAGATATCCTAAGATGTAGTCATAAAGCTAGTGCCCTTTAAATACAAATACTGACTTTTTGTTCATCCAAACATATGATATCGACGATATTGTTGGCTGTGTCCACTTGGTGCAGGCATTATGTTGTAATTCCTATACACCAAGAAAGCATTTCATTATCAATTGACTTTCTGATAATCCATATTTATGTATGTGAACACAATAAAAGTTGGTCACCTGTGTATTTACCGGCAGCTGCTACTGCACCTCCTACAGTGGATTAAATTAAATATTAATAGGTGTTACGTTGCTGAGCACTGAGTCACTTCTGGTGTTTTGGGTATTGTCTAATCTTTAACAGATAAACAGCAAGAAGAGAAAGATCATGGTAAGAAGCTATCCATGCCTTTGAAAATGCATATTTGTTGGGACTTTATTGAATACGTTTTTTTAGTGTTTCACAGGACTGATCCGAGCATGAATTTTACAGTTTCACCTCTTTTCTGATTATTTCCAAATGCTTTTCTAAGCCTTTTAAACAGATCATAGCTTAGTAAACGTGTGTTTTAGTGTATAAGGATTTTGGTTGCGGTGAAATCACGTCCCCTGAGTTCTGTTTGGTTTGGCTGATCTGCATCTGTGTTTGCTCAGGCTGCTGTATTTGCCGAGTGTTTTCTGTGACATGATGTTCTCTTAATAACTGAAAAGACAATACTAATCAGATACAATTATTCCTTCACATTAAGTCTGTCAACATATATCACATGTATCCATCTTTAGGTATCAAGATTTGTTTTATATGAACATATTGATATTCAATCTTTATCATTTTCATATACAAAAAAGGTGCCATTTTCATAGTATTAACATCTGTATTTTTAAAACTTGATGGCTCTTTTATCTTCAGTAAAATTGTTATTCATGAATAAAACAATGTATATATTTATTTGAATAATCAACAGAAGTTGAAAATATATTTTAAATTCCAAACCACCAACATTAACATTGACTAATGAAAAGAGCTTTAGGCACTAAAAAGGAAACATAGAGCCAAAGAGAAAGGCATACCTTCTGTATTCTTAGCAACTTGTCTTATTTAACTCTTTATTATGAAGATGTTTTATTGTGATATTGGAAAGCAATTGTGCTATGGGAATAAGTTATAGTTTTTACTTACCTATAAGTACCTGTTTCATACCATTAAGCTTCAAGATCTATTTCCTTCAGGGGGATTTAGTAAAGAATGCAGCAACATGATTGACCTAAAAAGACAAAAATGGAATAAAATGACACCTTTTCTCATTCCTGTCAGGCCGAGCTATTATCAGGTTGTTAAGCTTCGTGAGCATACGTTTTCCAGCACTTCTTTTTTTCTTTTGTATTTTTTCAAAGCAATATTTCGTATTTTCCTCACCGAATATCCCGTTTTTCTAACGCTCATTATGATGGAGGTCTCCTTATATGGCTATGGCTTGGTGCAGTGTATGTGTGTGCAATTTAGAGACGGTTGTGTAAAGGATAATGTGCAGCTTTCATTATGGGTAAAAGAACACCCGACAGGCAGATCAGGAGCCCGATGCGAAGCGGAGGGATCTTGATCAGGAATATCCTGCTTATTACGTGACCGTTGCGTAAAAAGGAGGGTTTCTGCCCCGTTATTTCTCCGCTGTGTTCTTGTCCCAGTTTGAAGGTTTTTTTGAAGGCCAAACTGTATACACTGCAATCGACCGGACTTCTTTCTGCAGATGTAGAATGCAGAAATGGGCAGATCAGATAATACAAACAGACCTCGGAGACCTTGGCCGTACACACCAGACAGTCTGGCAGGGAACAAGTGAGAACCAGGAGGAAGGCAGGATCTAAAATGACAGGGAAGTTATTGAAATGGTATACCAGAAATAACTATGATTGTGTGGAACTTCCATCGTCAATTTATATTTAAAGTTTAATATCCTTAGCACTTTCTACATGCTTTTGAGCAAGGCATCCTACCCCATACCACTTCTTGGGCATTTTATACAGTATATGTAATAGCTACCTACTGTTCTACTAGGAAATGCTGAGTACATTTGTGTCAATTTAAATGTGTTAAGATTGTATTACTCCATACCCATTTCTATCATATTGTCCAAAACCAGCATGTTGAAACGAAAATCACAATCAGAAATCGGAAATTCTTAATTAGTGTGCCACTGGAAATACACACATGATTAGATTCCTTTTTCTGGTTTTTTTCCCCTTGTTGTTAAAATGCTTCAATATGTTTCACACTCTTCAAATTCTGAACTAGTCTCTTAATCTTCTTACAATTGATAAATCTTCTGTTGTTGTGCCATCCAGCAACACTGGATCTTGTTGACTCCCAGCCAACACTACTGTATGTGGGAGTGTCTCTGTCCAATGCAGTTAACTTGAAGAGGACAAGTCATTAAAGGTATGTTTACTTGAAAACAACGTGAGGTTGTGTCAAATTGTCTGTACATAAAAACTACACTATGTATTTCACTTTTGACATGACATAGTACAGCAGGTAGATAACATGTTAACATTTTCCATTGGTTGGCTTTCATTAGTCTATTTGGGGGAATGGCAAATAACCAGACTGTCAGTAGTGCTCTAACTTCAGCAATAAAGCGACCTGTGATTTGAATCATGAGTAACTACTTTAATTACACACGCAGCAGAGCAACAACAGCCATCAAGTGTTTTAACTTGTGAAACAAAAAATAACCTGTCCTCACAGATATTGCACCAATCAAATTACAGTACCAATTTTTCCAATAGTAACCAGAAATTCAATCCCCCAGACAAATACATTTTGTAAATTCATTACATAGAAATTCATCAAATATAATTTATATAATTGATAATAATTGATGTGTTGGTTTCCCAGCTAAACTTTATTTGGATAAGTAAATACAGTTCTTCTTAAATATACCTTGTACACATTTCTTAAAATGGTGGCCAAACCCAAAGTCATGATTGGAAATGCATCTTTATAGGCCTATACAGATGAATCCAATGATGTAATAAGATAATTATTAGGTTAAGAAACCCTCAACATTGCGCTTGACCTTTATTTGTTCTGTGGTATAAGAACAAGGTATAATTGTGACAGTGTTCAATATCTATGTAATAAACAATGTAAAGCTGGGTGGTATGATTATATAATGTTTTTTTTTCTTTTCTGTCCCACTTTCTTAAAAGGAATGGCAATATTTAAGACATGCTTGTCCATCTTTGCCCTTCTCCTGACACTAACTATTTTGGAAACAGGGAACTTCATTGAATCTCCAAGTCAGGTTTTACTGGTAGGTCAACGGTGATTACAATACTGTACAGAACATATGGGATCACAGCCTTCAATACACAAAGCAATTATTTGAACCTGAACCCTATCTGTTGTCTCAGGAACACAATGAAGAAGAATCATGTATACCTCACACCAGGGGGAAAAGGAGTGGTAAGTCTCATTATTAAATATTAAAGAATATTGGAATAATAACACTTTATAACTGATAGATAGTTTAAAAGATGTAAAACATGAGAGGTGTGACTGCTGTCCCCGGAATATGTAGTGTACATAGCTTAACAGCCAGATAAACTCCCTCCGTACACCAAGACTCTGAAGACGTGAATCCTTTGCCCACAGGTTTATTGGTATAAGGATGGTGTGAAACTAAAATAAACAAGACAAAATGTAATTAATTCTATGATCATTTTTACATGCACAAATATGCACAATGGATATATATCAACACAGCTTTAACATGAATACAATTGCCTCGTTATATTTACTGTAAGCTTTTTAATGTATTTATTTTAATTCTAGAACTTAAACAGTTATAAATGGCATCATATTTTAAACATCTAATCAACCATTTGTACATTTATTTATTTAACTCTCCTTGCATTAACCTTGTACAATATTGAGACAACTCGGAAGATCTCCAGCATTAAACACCACAGAATACAATATTTAAAAAAAAAAATCATCTTTAATTAGGGATAGGTATCGTTAGGATTTTATCAATACCGATACTGCTTATCGATACCGGTATTTTTCGATACTCTTATCGATACTTTTCAATAATTTGGTGCTCAAAATTATAGACATGATTACAAGATGTGAAGATTAAACAACAGTCATTTTATTGTAATTTATTTATTTATTATTTAATGTAACTTTTTCAATGTCATACCAAGCAGGTATGAGTGTGTTTGACAGTGTGTCTCTGGAAGGGGGGCGGTAATTAGGGGCAGTTCATAAATCCATGTAAACATGACCATTATTCAGTTAAAACGAGACGCTGCGTGCGCACCTCCTAAACCGGAAGCTCCGGTCGCTAATCATTACAATCCGTTTATTGTGTTTATTATTTAAATTGTAATGATGGATTATCAGTAATCATTTTAAAGTTACACAGAGACATTGGATTAGCCGTTGTTGTGCCCTTGAACACAACTTTTGATCACAAAACAGCAAAGGTAAGACTTAATTATCATCATGGCTACGTAAAGTGAAGTTGTTTTCTTGCTATTTCCTGGTTGCTAGTTCAGTGAGTTGTGGTCGTATGAGACTTATACCAATAAACAAAGAAGTCCAATTGATGCGTTTCAGGGAGGGTGGGGGGATGGGGCGGGCAAACTCCCTCTGGAGGGCACAAAGGGATTTTAGCCTTTGCAGACCATTTACATGCACAAAAACCTTTTTAACCCAAAAAAGCATACATTTTCTTTTTGAACGGTCGCAGTGGCTAACACTTTTAAATAATAAGAGATATCAAATATATTACATTTAGAGGGATCATTAATAGAACATTAGCTCTAAGATAAAACACATAATTAAGTATTACTTTAAATGACTACAGCTTAATTTGAGTGATTTCTCTACATTGATATGTCCTTTAACCAAAAGAGACCCTAAATCATGTTGTTTTTTTACTACAGGGCTTCTGGCTCAGGTTGAGTACGATGTGGATGTTGACCTGAATTTTACTGATATTGGGACCGTGGACGCCCTTAGAAGCATCCTGGATGCAGGTGGCTTTTCCCTAGCCTTGGGTCCAACTGTGAACGTCACACACATTAACATCACCACAGGTAAGCATGGTGGTAAAAGTATGGGGGGGAAATGTTGTTAGACAAGACAAAGGGCGCCTGGGCATTAAAGTGTACTGTGTCCTTTTTCCCCACATTTGACCATGTGATACATTCAATTCAATCAATTATATTTTCTTTCAAGTGTTTACAGAGTAATGGCTCACTTATTAACTGTGGACAATGGGAGAATATGCTCTCGTGACCTTCATATAACTAAACCATTATAAACTACTATATAGTCCTCCTCTAAAATTGGGACTTTCCCTTCTCATTGAGGTGAAGCAAGTTTGGAAAGTTCAAGAATGTCCACATACTTTTGAGTATCAAAAAGAATAATCCTCCAGGGCTTCTCAGACAAGGCACTAGCAAGGCGTGTGCACAAGTTAAACAATAATATTATTTCCAATCATTGATCTTATACAAGTTTCATTTTTTAGATTTCCAAGTCTGAAATACATACTGTTTACAGTATCTCCAGAGTAAGGAATGTTTGAACAGACCATTACTCCTCAACACAAAATCATCTAAAATATGTCCCATTGGACCTAAAGCTAGAAACCAAGAAACCAAACACCTAGTCTCAGTCCAAGGAACATGGCTAATTATTAGGCAGAATGGTGTAATCAGATTGGGCCTGCCAAGAGTTTTTTTTCTGTTGGCAAGTTTACTTTGGCAAAGGGTAGAGTAGAGCAGGTCATGCCTTTCCCAACAGGAAAAATATCATGAAGGTCCATCAGTCTGCATAACAATAATCTATTTGCTTCTGTTTGTTGCGCAGGGAGGGTTTATCTTTGGAGCGAAGGGGCCTTCAAACAATAGGTGGTTGGTTTTTGGGGGTAATGTGCTGTTGGAAATATTGGTCATGGACATCTTTCTGACCATTAAGCTGCTTTCACAAGATACACGTCGAAACGGCTCTGCACTTACGTGGTGTATTTTTTGGAGAGAGCAGTGCTGCCCGACTAGGCGGAAGCGCTTCTCTCGGCGTCGCACATCACTCAAAATGATCGTCAAGCACGGCGCTCAAAGATCAAATAATTTAAACTTTGACCTTGTTTAACGCTGACCTTCGCAACCAATCAGATGCCAGCTGTGCTATGCTAGCAGGGGAAGTCAATCTGCTCTTTTCTCACCACGTGGTTGGGCACAGAGCCTTGCAGTGAAAACGATAGTTACGTATGTAACTACGGTTCTATGAATACTGGATGACCGCCAGAGGCGGTGCTTTAGCACTGAATATCTTCCGTCTCGCGCATGCGTAGGTCGAATATTTATATCAACAAAGTCACGTGTGACCTCGTATGACCCTGGAAGGCATAAGTTCCGGTGTTGTCAACGAGTTCAGTTGTATGGAATCTTCTCGCGGAAACACGAGATTCCGAGTGACCAAGAAACTCTGGCGGTCATCCAGTATTCATAGAACCGTAGTTACATACGTAACTATCGTTCTATTTCATCCTTACTGACCGCCAGAGGCGGTGCTTTAGCACTGGATGACCTATACCAACAGAGTCACGAGGAAGTCTGAATACTCCCCCTGCTATAAGGATGGCCTAGGCTGACTCTGCAGGAGGACCACACCCAGCGGGTGAGGGGCGGCAACATTCACCCTGTAGTATCTGGCGAATGTGCTCTGGGATGCCCATGTGGCCGCAGCACATATGTCCTTGCACCTTAGAGAGGAACGCTGCGTTCGGCCATAAGGTGACACCTGAGCCATCTGAGTTCCACCTCAGACACGAGCTGTTCACGGACAAGGCCTGAAGCTCGCTTACACGCTTTGCTGAGGTGATGGCAAGAAGGAAAGCAGTCTTAGCTGAGAGCCACTCCAGTTCTGCCTGTAACAAAGGTTCAACAGGAGGCGAGCATAGGGCATCCAGCACCAAGGGCAGGTCCCATGTAGGGGCACTTGGGATATTCGGGGGGGCGAAGACTCAGAGCTCCCCCTTAAAAAGAGGGATACCAACCTATGGCTCCCACTGTGCTGTTGTCAGCCCTTGCGTGTTGAGCTGATATAGCAGCCACATACACCCTGACGGTAGCGGGACACCGGCCGTCGTCCAGGAGGGACTGCAGGAACTCAAGGGTCGTAGGCACCGAGCAATATACTGGGTCCTCATTTCGCCCTTGGCACCAGTCAAAAAAACAAAACAGTTTCCACCTGTTTTCGTGCTGCCTACCAGTAGATGGTGCCCTGGCATTTGAGAATAGTCTTCCTGACAGGCTCTATGCAGTCGCTCAGCAGTGGGTCGGGCCCTCCAGTGGCCAGACCCACAGCTGGAGGCGGCAGGGGTCGGGGTGCCACATCCGACCCTCCAACTGAGACAAGAGGTCCTTCCTGTTGGGGAGACGCCAAGGCGTCCCACAGCAGAGTCTGTGCAGCATATGGACACGCCCGCACCTAGCTGGGTTAAACAAGGAAGTTTAACAGGACAGCCTAGCTGCCTAGCTCCTGCTAGAATCAAGCAACACGCCTACCAGGAGCAGGGGCGAGAACACTGCCTTCACTGGTTGAGTTGATAACGAATTCCAGATGCAGCGTAACCGGGAGCGGGTGCAAGAACACAGCCTCCACCAGCTACCTGCTGAACGTAAAGAGTAGAGCAATGCTACACGCCGAACACAGAGAGGGATGTAAATTTCCTACACCACGTTACCAGCAGAGAGAGCGGGAGCGAGCACTGCATTCACCTCGGTGGATTAGATAAGGACATTTAACAGGGCAGTTTAGCCAGGCAGCTGCTGCTAGAATGAAGCAGCGCGTCTACCAGGAGCGGGGGCGAGAACACCGCCCTCACTGGTTGAGTTAATAACGAATGCCAGATGCAGCGTAGGCGGGAGCGGGGTGCGAGAACACAGCCTTCATCAGCTACCCGCTGAAAGGAAAGAGTAGAGCAACGCTCCTACTCGCCGAACACAAAAGGGATGTAACTACACCCATGTTACCAGCAGAGGGAGCGGGAGCGAGAGCACTGCCTTCACCTAGCTGAAAAAAAAGAAGTTTCAGCAGGACAGCCTATCCAGTCGGCTGCTGCTAGAATAAAGCATCACGTCTACCAGGAGTGGGGCGAGAACACTGCTTTCGCTGGTTGAGTGACTGTGTCCAGAGCCACCCCAATGAAGGTTAGGCTCTGAGAGGGGTTCAGACAACTCTTCTCCATGTTCACCATGAGGCCTAGCCGGGCAACATGAGAGAGAAGGAGAGCCGTGTCCTGGATCGTCTGTAACCGGGATGGTGCACAGATTAACCAGTCGTCTAAGGAGAGGGAGAGTCCGAATGGAACACCCTGAACTGGAAATGACGGCCTCTGAAGGCAAAGCGAAGAAACTGCCTGTGATGAGGCACAATAGGCACATGAAAATAAGCGTCCTTCAAGTCGACGGACGTGAACCATTCCCCCCTGGCCACGGTACGAAGAACGTCCGCTGTGCTCAGCACATGGAAAAGTAAAATCTTTAGGAACTTGTTGAGTCCCCTCAGATCGAGGATTGGGAGAAGTCCACCGCCTTTCTTCCTTACCAGGAAGTAGGTTAAGTAGAAGCCCCGGGCTGTGAGATGGGGTCCACAGGCTCGATTGCACCCTTGGCAAGGAGGACTGACAGCTCCTGGTTTAGGGCGATTTCCTTTGCCAGGTCGCTTATGGTGGTCATCTTGACCCGGCTGAAGACTGGGGGCCAGCGTCGGAACTGAAGCTTGTACCCTTGGGTTAGGTGGAAACCACCCAGGGGTCTCAAGCTTAAGCTACCCGGTAGTTGAGCTGCTGCTGGGAGAGATAACCAACAGCCGGCCCCAGACCCTCAGTACCTTGCCCCCCGGCCTCTGGCTCTGGGGGGGCGACGGTTAGGCATCGGATACCGAGGCTGCCTTGGGGGCGAGTTAACAGGACCGTAGCGGGCCAGCCCCCTCGTGGGGCGCTGAGGCCCATGGCGGGTACCGGGGTGAGCCGGTGGACGGAGAGTCCTACATGTCTCTGATAAGGGTGACTGTGTCAGCCAAACCTGGCGACGAGTCTGGACGAGAGTGGACATCAGGCGCCCAAGCTCTCTGGACATCAGAGCAAACGCCTGTAATGAGGCGTCACTGAGGCTGGTAGAGGAAGCCCTAAGAGCATCCTGCTGCGGGGAAGCTGAGAGGGCGACTATGAGATGAGAGAGGGAATTGCCTATACGGCCCATGCGCGCCGCTGCATCGTAAGCCTTAGTGAGCAGGTCATCAGTGACCCAACATTGGAGTCGAGGGCATCTGGCCTCCGACCTCAGAGCTTCGTCAGGGGAAACTATGAGGGAAGCAATGGTAGGCTCAACAGCCGGCGTGTGGTCCAAGCCAACTCTTGCCGCATCCTGCATGGCTGCCAGGGCTCGGCCATCGGACGTAAGACTGTAAAGAGCCTTAGTGTCTTCCAGCATGCATGTAACTCCCTCAGATACTCACAAGAGGGAGGAACAGTAAAGGTGGCGTGTGCCGGAGTGCGCCTAAAGAACACACTGGCAGGCGCTGTTTTGGGCTGCTGCGCATCCAGCTGCTGGTGAGCCAGTGCCATGCGAATGACGGTACCCATGGAGCCGTCATCTGCCTCCTCCGAGGGACCATGAGCTGAGGTACAGGAGCCAGGCCCAGAAGCATGGGATGGGCTCTCCCCGTCATACTCATCAAATTGAGTGGCTGAAGCTGCCATCGAGAACACATCGTCATCTAGAACCAGCTCAGCCACGGGTGGGCAGCGGCGTGCTCTGCACGGGCACCAGAATGGAGAGCCAAGAGGAGTGACTTTATCTGGGCTAGCTCAGTAGTGAGTAGGTCCACCCTGGAGGACAGCCTATCAGGCTTAGTCCTCTTCTTGGGCGGTGCACCCGCAGCCTCTGCGGCCCAACGGCTAGGATGGGTAGGTTAGGCTGTGCAGAGTTGACTGTGCAGGGGGAAGGCCACCCTCAGTCAGTAGTTCAACCTCGGCTAGTCTAGCAGCTCCTACCGCACGAGGCATGATGGTGCAATTCATGCACGGGTCCTCCGAAAGGCCCTCCCTCAGATGCTAGAGGCCAAGACAAGAGGGATTGATTGATTGATTGAAAAGTTTATTAACAGCTTGTATATTGGGTACAGTACAGTACAGCTCAAAACATACAATTGTTAAGGGGATGCAGACCAGAGAAAGACTTTCGTCTTGTTTACATCAGGGTCCCCCATTTCCAATTCATCATGTCATTTAAGACATAGAGGCAAAGGGGGGCAAAAGGTCATGGCCATCCTCTGGTTAAAGAGGAGCCATACAGGTGTTAGAGCCGTTAGTCCTAGCGTTAGCTAGAGCACTCAGCTGACTGTAAATAACTGGGCCAGGAAACGAATATGCAGTGGAGGGGAGTGAGCACAATAGTAGTTAGCTTGAGCGTGAGCACTCTGCTAACTGGGGTGAGAACAATGAAGTAAGTTAATGGTGTTATGCCGTGAGAGGAGAGTGGGAATACTCTCTCCACTAGCGACGTAGCGAGTTAGCCTAAGCGAGAGCACTCTGCTAACTGAAGGATGGAACAGGAACCAACTGTGAGCAGGGAGAGGGGAGCGGAAACACTCTCTTCACTAGCGCTGTAGCAAGTTAACGTGGACCTGTCATGCTATATTTGAATAATATAGTGTAGGACCATACCTATATAAGGCATATTTATACTTTTTATTTTTCAAAATACCAAACAGATCATGCTGATGGGCTGATTCTGTGAGAACAGCACCATCTACAGGCCTGGCATATGTACTACAGCGTCTCCAGCACTTTCGAACGGCAATGTCCGTGGCTGTCTCCTCCTGATTGGTGGAGTTGGCCCAATAGCCGTAGCACCACTTCTGTGACGTCATAGAAGTGTTCAAATCTGGATCAGTCTGTATCAGATCCGTTGCAGCCCCTTTTTAAGAGATTTGGGTATAGAGGAAAATAGAGAGGGTTGTGTTTTCTGACACTTGGTGAGTTCCCTGGAACACCGGGGACACATATTAAGACGTACAAAAGTGCATTTTGCATGATAGGTCACCTTTAACTTTGAGCGAGAGCACTCAGTTAACTGGAGGGTGGAACAGGAACCAACTGTGTGCAGGGAGAGGAGATCGGAAACACTCTCTTCACTAGCGCTGTAGCAAGTTAACTTTGAGCGAGAGCACTCAGTTAACTGGAGGATGGATGCACTTTATATGTTGTTGCCACTCCTTGCATATCATGTATTTTGTTTTTTACCATGTTTGTAAAATGTAATTTCCTTAAATGTTTTATGTGAGGGAATGGAAAGTAGCTCAAAGCTAAATCTGGCACTGTTACGCTTGACATATTTAAATGTCTTAAGTGTTCATTACAGTGCATGTCCCTGTCAAATAAACGATTAAATAAAATAACCAATTGTGCGCCGTGAGAGGGGAGCGAAGACACTCTCCTCACTAGCGCTGTAGCAAGTTAGCTTTGAGCGAGAGCACTCAGCTAACTGGGGATAGAACAGGAACTAATTGTGAGCTGTGAGAGGGGAGCAAACACACTCTCTTCACTAGCGCTGTAGCAAGTTAGCTTTGAGCGAGAGCACTCTGCTAACTGGGGATAGAACAGGAACTAATTGTGAGCTGTGAGAGGGGAGCGGAGACACTCTCTTCACTAGCGCTGTAGCAAGTTAGCTTTGAGCGAGAGCACTCTGCTAACTGGGGATAGAACAGGAACTAATTGTGAGCTGTGAGAGGGGAGTGAAGACACTCTCCTCACTAGCGCCATAACAGTTAGCTTGAGCGAGAACACTCAGCTAACTGGACGATGGAACAGGTAAGGAAACAAATGTATGCGGTGAGAGGGGGGCGGAGACGCTCCCTTCACTAGCGCCGTAACAGTTAGCTTGAACGAAAACACTCAGCTAACTGGACGATAAAACAGGTAAGGAACCAAATGTATGTAGTGAGAGGGGGGCGGAGACGATCCCTTCACTAGCGCCGTAACAGTTAGCTTGAACGAAAACACTCGGCTAACTGGACGATAGAACAGGTGTTACGTCCCCACAAAAGGTTTATTTTGTAAACCCAGAACCGAACAGACATATAACTGAAACCTTAGTTGGTGAGGAGGAGGAGGAGTCAAAGGATTGCGCCAAACAAAAGAAACAAGCATAACAAAACCAGGCCTATCTCTACATCTATCCTTTGAAACCAAAACTCAAACAAAAACCCTCACTAACTAAACTACGAAGAAGTTGACAAAACAATATACAGGGGTGGCAACAATCCGCTAACCTAGTGTGTCTAAACATTAGTTAGCTACGTGGTGAGAAATGTACAGGGTACCCCAGACTTACCTAACTCCTCCACCTCTCAACACACACACTTTCAAAAAGGTCTGACAATACAAAGTGAATTAGTTGCTAAACACTGCAGGCTCCTTCATCAGCAACAGGCCCAGAGTGAGAGAGCGAGAAGACTTCCTGGGTGCCTCCTTTATGGTCGGCCCTGGCTGCTGATAGGCCAGCTGAGGGTGAGAGGATCCATTCAGCCATCAGACTCAGATGCACAGGCAGATACCGATCAGCTGATGATTAGCTGTGCAGAAGACAGGGAGAAGAGAGAAACACAGGAGGGAAGGAAAACCACACCAGGCACGTAACAACAGGCAAGGAACCAAATGTATGTAGTGAGAGGGGGGCGGAGACGCTCCCTTCACTAGCGCAGTAATAAATTAGCGAGAGCCCCCGGCTAACTTGTACACAGTTATCTCATTAGCTTGAGAATAGATAGCACAATCAGCGATAAATGGTAGCGATCTCACCGGCTGACGTGCGTTATGGCACGAGCGTCCGCTCTTTACCGGTCCGGAGCTCCTAGGGTCCGTGTAGTGAATACCGCGGTCCCCTCCCTTGGGAGGGTGGACAGCTAGCTCGTTGCAGCCTTTGGAGGGCGAGCGTTTTCCTAGCCCGCAGCTCCGATCGAGACGATCACAAGGCTACAGGTAGCGATGAGCTAGAATCTTAATTTTCAATAAGCTAGCTTGGCTTCTACTCAAAAAATAGTAACCTGCGCAGCGAGAAGATGAAAAAGAACTGAACTCGTTGACAACACCGGAACTTATGCCTTCCGGGGTCATACGAGGTCACACGTGACTTTGTTGATATAAATATTCGACCTACGCATGCGCGAGACGGAAGATATCCAGTGCTAAAGCACCGCCTCTGGCGGTCAGTAAGGATGAAATAGAACAGCCAGTATGGTTACCTCCCGTGCTAGCTTGTGCCGCTACATACAGCTGTCATCTGATTGGTTGCGTGTCCAAAGGTCAATCATATGACAAACCAGGTAAAATTCTAAATAATTTCAACTTGGAATGCATCGCTTGGCAACAATTTGGAGCCATGCACAACACAGAAGGCAGTTATTCCGCCTCTTCAGGTGGCATCGCTCTCTCCATAGAAACACAATGTCAGCGCAGAGTCGTTTTCCCGTGTATCATGAGAATGCAGCGTTCTGGAATGACTGGCCTTCAATACAATAAGCACTACGCTATAAATCAAGTAGGCTATGGATATAAAAAACTGCTGCATATCATTTACGTGGTTGGCTGTGGCTCAGGATGTAAAGTTGGTTGTCAACTAATCCGAAGATCAATGGTCCTGCTCCTTCTGTCTGCATTGAAGTGTCATTGGGCAAAGATACCATGGCAAAGTATCTCCCAAGGCCAGGGACGTGCACAGGTACGGGCTAATGTTGCCCGGGCAACGGCCCGTTTGGCCTTTTTGGCTGACCTGCCGCTCTGGAGAGAGCGAGAGTTTGTTTTTCTTTTTTCTTGTGGCCGAATCAACATGATGAACCCACAATTAGTATTGTAGCGTCTCGCTGCGGGAAACACACTGTCAGCGCTGTCATCTGCCGGTGCGTTAAGACCACCTCAGTGTCGGATTTTGGAAACTTGATTTTGAGTTCTCTCATGGCAGTTAGGGTATAAGGGACAAACCAGGGGACTTTACTTCCTCTTGATACCGTCGGTTATTTACAAAAAAACACCTAAATATAGCCTACTTGTTGTTATTGAGCTTCTGTCTTTCTGTGTCTTCTCATCTGTAAACTCCCTCAACGCTCGCTCTCTTTTCTTGATCGCCCTCTCACGGGTGAACAGTTCAATTTCCCGCTTCCTTGTAGGATTTCTGCCATGTCTCTACTTTAGTTTGACCATCTCTGTTACTAAGTTATGGAATACTAAATAAATAAGTAATTAGATACCTTACCGTTACTGGCTGCACTCATAAAGAATGATAAGAATAAGAATAATGCGTATTGAACTGGTTTCATTAATTAGTGAGTTTATTTAAGGTAATTAGTTAGAGGCCCTATTGTATCAGTATGTCTGGACTGCACAGCAGTTACAATGGTCAAACTACATTAGAACAGAATTGTCCCCATTTTGTCTTTAATAGTTACTAACATTAGATATTTTAATGAGATATGGACCGCAAAATAAAAAATGAATTACTGTTCAATTTAGTTGATGTAATAATCGTTTGGTTCTTTTACATTCCAGTAAAAACAAGTTACAATTTTCAAAAGGTTGTGTTTTTTATCGGGGGGAGGCCCTTTTTCCAGTTTAGAGCAATAGCCCCTCCAAATGTCTGTGCACGTCCCTGCTCAAGGCACAGCAAAATGTGGAAATAAGCATTAGATAGATCCTCATGAGTCCAGTTTGTCAACTTGTTAACCCTGCTATCAGTTTATAAATGTGTGTGAATGGATACATCTTGACATGTAAGGCAGAGGAACTTTGAGTAGTGGTAAGACTATAACTGATTATAATGTCTGTTTAATTGTTTTTCTTTTTAATGTAGTTTGTTACCCAAATGGTACAAACTTCCAGTGCAGATGTGAGGAACAGTATGTGTGGTCATTAAGCAACTGTAATACATACGGAGCCTGCGATGACATCATTGACAACACGTGTGGGTGTATCAACAGTATTCCTACCACTGGACAATACTGCGTGCCACAGACAGGTGATACACTTTTACATTTAAAGTAACATCACACATGTGGATATAATATTTACTGGTATTTTTTTCGGCACTGTTATTTAAAAAAAGCATTTGTGTCCTTTCAATTCTCTCTCACTCAAGCTGACCTTGTATTTAATAGGCCTACTATAGGATTACAAACATGAGCAAATCTAAATGAGCAAACAGATAATAACAAACAATATGACAAGATGAAAAGAAACAGAGAGAAACATGAATACCTATTCTTGACCATAATTGCATTTCTTCACTCAGCAATGTTGCCCAGATGTCATGACACGACCTAGATTTGGAACAAATTACTTACAAATAATTGTCTCTAATTCGACTCTCTTTTTCTACAGTACCTTTAGTATTTTATGAATACCAGATTATTATCGAGGTGAAAACCAGCGATGTGGATCAGCTGAGAAACGTCCTGAACAGTTTAACTTTTCCTGTCCAGATCAGCTCCTCAGTTAACATATTAGATGCCAATATCACCACAGGTAAGAACAAATGCATTATATCCTTTTTTAATATCTATTTCAAACTTCTGCCTTTTTCACAAGAGAAAATATGTTATTCTCTTTAAAGTTTGCAGCCAAGATAACACTGGGTTTCAGTGCCACTGTGAAAATGACTATCTTTGGCCGTGTGATAAGTGTGACACCTATGGGAAATGTGATGGTAATACAAGCAACACATGTGGATGCATCAATGCCATTCCTCCTGATGGACAATACTGCCAGCCTTTTGATCAATACGGTAAGTTGGTTTGCAGGTTTGTTTACTTTTAGGATCGTATTTCTATGTTCTGCCTCTACTGTAACATGTCTCCATGCTTTAATGTAGAAAAGTGCTTTATTTACCTCATACTGCCTGTGCTGCAGCACCTCTTTTCACCCTCTGTCTGAAACCAGAGCCCAGTCTGCTCTGATTGGTTAGCTAGCCGTTTTTGGGATTGGTCAGGGGCTTAGAGATGTGGTTGAAATGTCCCGCCCCTTAGCCTTTTACGGACAATGTATGGGGGGGGGGGGGAGTTTGTGGGAGAGAAACTCCGTCTGGAGGGAACACAGGGATTTTAGCCTTTGCAGACCATTAACATGCACAAAAACGTTGAGTTACGTATGGTAACCCTTGTTATATAAGCACAGGTGAGCCCTCTACTGGACTCTAAGGGTACTCCCGTGTATCCTATCCGTGCACGCATTCCTTCACTGAGACTTCCCTAGACGTAGCCGGTCCCTGGGTGGGCCTACCTGAATGCCATCCTTTACTTCTCTTCAGCAAGCAGCATAGGACAGACAGTGCCTCCATAGGTAGAGGGCTCACCTGTGCTTATATAACAAGGGTTACCATACGTAACACAACGTTATATCTCTCACAGGCTCCGCCCTCTACTGGACTCTATGGGTACAGGTGTATATACGCACTGCTGTCCCGCAACAACATCGCTCCATCTCCCTGTTTCTGACCGGCTTTCTGGTTAGAGGCCGCTGTGCCTCACTCATCTCTCCCTCGGTCGTAACCGTGGAGAGAAAGAGGCTGCGGCTGGCCGAGCACACCCTGACTCACTTACCCCGCGGAGGTGTGCCATAACGTGGAGGACTCCCTCCTCCTGTCTTAAAGCATGGAAAAAGGAGTCCTCCAGCCCCTATGGGCCCCTGTGCGCGTCACGTCCGTAAGCACATTACGTCCGGGGAGGGGGTCAGCTGCCCACTGACCCACAGCCCTCCTCTCTCTGCTCACCAGTCCTGTGTTGCCCCAGCAAGCACAGACGATGAAAAGGAGCCAGACATGTCAAAGAGATAAAACTTAATGAAGGGACCTGGTGTTGACCAAGATGCCGCCGTGCATATGTCCTCCACACTCACGCCGCTAAATAGGGCTGTTGACACAGCCATGGCTCGTGTAGAGTGTGCACGGACCCCTGTGGGAAAGGCTCTCCCCGCCTGTCCGTAGGCATGTGTAATGCACTCGCAGAGCCAGCCTGCCTGGCGTTTCTTGGACAGAGCTTTTCCAGTTACCCCACCCCCGAAACACACAAAGAGCTGTTCTGTGTGTCTAAGGGCAGCCGTGCGCTCCACATAAAATGCCAGCGCACGCACCGGCCAGAGGAGGTGTAATTTATCCTCCCTCGCCCCACTTTGGGGGGGGGAAATTAAAACCCCCCAACTGAATAGCCCTCGACCTGAATGCACTCCTTAGGCTCTTGGGCACAAAGGAGGGGTTCGGTCTGAGTGTCCCCCCGCTCTGGTCACCCCGGATTATGAAACAACTCGGGTGCCACGATAAAGCAGTTAACTCAGACACTCTTTTGGCTGACATTAAGGCAAGTAGCAATACTGTCTTCCATGACAGTGCTTTCAGGGAAGAGAGCTCCAGAGGCTCGAATGGTCCTGTGAGCCTCGAGTACCAGCGGCAGGTCCCACTGCAGGGCGGAGGCCCGCACCACTGGGCGCAGCCTCCTGACCCCCCGCAAAAACCGTGACGTGGATTCATCTTCTTATTACAGACACATGCATTTCCTAACATTCGGTCTATATGCTGTAACATTTATTATCTCTTCGATTTACACACGGCATCTATTGCACGTCTGTCCGTCCTGGGAGAGGGACCCCTCCTCTGTTGCTCTCCCTGAGGTTTCTCCCATTTTTTCCCCTTAAACTGTGGGTTTTCTCTGGAAGTGTTTCCTTGTACGATGTGAGGGTCTAAGGACAGAGGGTCTAAGGATAGAGGGTGTCGTTTTTCTCATACTGATATTCTGAACAATCTGTGCTGTTGTATTTGCTGTAAAGTGTCTCTACTGTAGGCTATTTTTATTATATGTACAGCACTTTGGCTCGACCAAAAATCGTTTATAAATGTGCTATATAAATAAAACTTGATTTGATTTGATTAGCGGCTGAGCAAAAACTGACCTGCCGCCAAATCCCTCATGGCAGGACGAGATGACTGCTGCATACACTTTCACTGTGGAATGAGCAAGCCCTCTGTCCACCAACAACTGTAAGTACGAGAAAATAGATCCCAATTCACAAGATAGGGGCTCTATTTTCCGCTCCTCACACCATCGCCGGAATCCCAGCCACTTTGGCCTGTAACAGGCTGTGGTGGATCCCGCTCTAGCTGCCTGGATAGACTGAATAACACTGTCAGACAATCCACCCTGCCTCAGCCTGTCCCCCTCAGGAGCCAAGCCTGGAGAGGTTGGCCCAGAGTGGGTAACGCCCCGATTGCACCTGCCTCCTGGGAGATCACCCCCCAAATTTGAGGGAGCGCCCAGGGCTGACCCACCTTCATCTGTGTCATCTCTGAGTACCACGGCGCCCCCACGCGATCCGGCGCTACCAGGATGATTGACAGACGTTCTCGCCTCACTCTCCCCAGGAGAGGGAGAATGAGACGCAACGGTGGAAAGGCGTAAAGCAGCTTATTTGGCCATGGCTCGTGTGCAAACGCGTCCACCCCCAAAGGCGGGTCGTCGCTCAGAGCCATGGAGAATCACAGTGCGCAGTGGGTGTTGCGCCGGCTGGCGAACAGATCCACCTCTGCTGTCCCGAACCAGGCCCAGATCCGCTTCACCACCTCTGGGTGAAGCGCCCACTCGCCTGGCAGGGGTCCTCCCCTCGACATGAGGTCGGCCCCCCTGTTCTCCAGACCTGAAATGTGGAGGGCTCTGCAGCCCATAACCACAATTTCTCCGCCATGGTCAACAAAGCGGCGGTGTTGATATATGCCACTGTGGTGCTGTTGTCTCTCCTGACCATTACATGTTTTCCCTGGATTAAGGGTTTGAAATGTTGGAGGACTAATACTACTGCCCGTAGCTCTAGGAGGTTGCTGTGCCGCGTCTCTGTTAGAGACCAGCGCCCCCCTATAGTTTTTCCCAGGCAGGTTCCCCCCATCCCGTTCCGGATGGATCCGTGAACACTGAGATGTAGGAGGTCACCCGTCCCAGCGCGGACCCCCTCCGGAGGTGATCCGGGGACCGCCAGAACCGGAGGTTGCCCCCCACCGAGGGGGGGATGGTCACCAGCCGCCGTTTGTGTCTCTTGGGATCTAAACACGGGCTGGAGAACCACCTCTGCAGCGCATATGCAGTAACCCAAGCGGGACCACACCGTGTGCCGCCGCCATGAGACCCAAGGTCTGCATGACAGTCAAAGATGTCACCGTTGCCCCCTGTCGCAGTCTGCAAACTGCCCACAGCAAGGATGCCTGTCTGCTCTCTGACAGGGTGGCGCGTAGCCTGCCTGCATCGAGCACCACTCCCAAATACAACACCTGTTGGTGAGTTATGGGGGCGCTCTTCTTCCAATTGATCGCAAATCCTAACTTGGTTAGGTGTAGGATCAATTGAGCTGTATAACACATTGCCCGTTCCCTGGACCTGGCCATAACTATGAGGTCGTCCAGATAAAAGAAAACTCTCATGCCCCGGCAGCGCAGCGGCTGGAGCACGACAGCCACACACTTGCTGAACGTGCACGGGGACAGGGAGTAGCCGAACGGCAGCCTGTTGTACTCGTAGGCCACCCCCTGAAAGGCAAAACGTAAATACTTTCTGTGTCTTGGAGCAATTCCGACATGAAAGTAAGCGTCCTTCAGGTCGATGGTTGTAAACCAATCGCCTGGCTGCACCAGTTCCAGTAATCGTTTTATAGTTAACATCTGGAATGTTCTGCGTGCAATGTGGAGATTCAGACCGCGGAGATCCAGAATGGGCCTGTATTCGCCTGTTTTCTTGGGCACCAGGAAGTACAGGGAATAATGCCCCCTCTCTCTGTCTTGCGTGCGCACAACAGATACTGTCTGTTTTTGCACCAAGGCCTGAACCTCTGCTGAGAGAAAGCCTATCTCCTTTCGGGATGATAGCTTTGCCTCTCTTATGCCTGTAAACGGAGGATGGATGCTGGAAAACTGGAGTAAATAACCCCGTCTCAGCATCCTGTCCATCCACTCCGTCAACATGCAGCTGCGTTTCCATTCCCCATAACATTGTGTCAGGGGATGTGCAAACAATTGTGGGGCCCCAGCAATAAAGCTGTGATATTCTCTGGCAACCCGTACCGCCGCAAACTTCCCCGTGAAGGGAAACTTTGCCCATGGAGGGTCGACACGGAAAGGGCCGACTCTCTACTGAGGTCTTTGAACGCACCAGCGCGCTCCGCCATGATGTTTTCACCCGAACAGTGAAAAACATCAAGCGGAGCTTTCACACTTGGAAAGCTATACGGGTCCCTGTACCCGCACAGCGCGGTTTATCACTCTCACCTGCGCAGGTGCACTAGCTGCCTCCTTTACTGGAGTTACAGTGGGGAAACTGTACTGACAACATTACGTGGCTGTGTGGGTGTGTGGAAAACAGAGACACTCAAACTGGAATACAGTTTATCTCTTTTATTGCAGAAAGATGATTTTGCAATCAAAGGGTCAAACAGGGAGGAGGCAGGATTTGCCATTGCGTCTTGGCCGGAGAATTCCCCTCTCCCTGCCGAGACGCTTCCTCCCGCCACCAGTCAACTCCCTCCGCTGCGGCGGCACCAGAGTGCGGGCCAGAGCAGGAGCCCGACGGATTCTGTCAGCCTGTCCCCGCAGGGGCCGGTACTGACCCGGTACCTCAGGACTAGGGTTGCCAACTTCCAGAAATGGAGAAACGGGACATATATATGTGTCCCCCGCTTTTCGGTTTTCTGGCGGATTTAGTTACTTTTTTTTGTTACTTTATTTCGGTTTTAGGGTTAGGTTAGGGTTATGTTATTTAATTATTTTGGGGGAGCCAGCCCCTAGGGTTCGAAAATGTTTTTGGGGGTCAAACCCCCCAAAACCCTCAAAATGCATAGAAAACTATGCATACCTATAACACAATACAAACACAATGGTCTTACACCTGCATTAGGCTACTACATCACATTGTACATCAGCATGTTCAAATCGGATAGGTGGGCACTAGGGACATCTGGGCACCTCGATGTACAATTGGCTATTTTGTCCAAAATGTTCAAAAATAAAATATTTGAAAAATGGTATTAAGTAATGCAAAGTATACATGATGTGAACATGCACGGTACATCATTATTAGACTTAATGCTATCCTTCAACCAACCATTTTCCCATCAATCAGCTGACACACACACACACACACACACACACACACACACACACACACACACACACACACACACACACACACACACACACACACACACACACACACGCACACACACACACACACACACACACACACACACACACACACACACACACACACACACACACACACACACACACACACACACACACACACACACGTGCGAGCATTGTGCCTGCCCTGTCAACTGAACGGTCCTAGCGCCCTTCGCATACAGCACACAAACATACAGGGTTAGACAGACACACTGCATTGCGCGCAAACAGAAAGATATTTTTTATTTTTCCCTTTATTTTTATTTTTCCCTTTCCCTTTTGAGTCCGGGACAAACAAAGTCCCGTACGGGACACGCCCCTTTTGGCTCAAATACGGGGCGTCCCGGCTAATACGGGACGGTTGGCAACCCTACTCAGGACGGACCCCGGAGGCAGAGGGCGCTCTCGGGACTCTAACCCGACGCCTCTCTCTCTCCGTCTTACCACTGCCGGGCGCACTCCCCCTTGCGGAGGGACCTGAGGGTGAGCCAGTGGCAACATGCGGCTGAGCTGTGCCCTTTCTTCCTAACGGGGCAACAGGGGCCCCCACACACCGGGTGTCTGGCAGGGGGGGGGTGAAACGAAGGCTGGCTGTGCTGGACGGCCCGGGCCGTAAAAACCTTGACGCAGGCGGCTCACCGGCCTCTGAGGTACTGGTGGGGGAAGCGGCAAGCCTGCACGCTCCGCCGCCATAGCCCCGTAAACCCGTCCGGGCTGCTGGGATGGCGAAGACGAAGGGCACTCCCTGCTCAAGGTCCTCCGTCTCTACCACGTCGAGCTCTGGGTCCTCCACCGGCGAGACGTCGCACCCCTCGAACAGCGCCACTTTCTGAAGGCGGCTGGATCGAGGCAATAATCAACAGGCGCCGCAGACTGCTGATGGGGGCAGGTTAGCCGCCGCGTGGTCGGACCCCAGACACTCGATACACCGGGAATGGGGTCGTCACCCTCGATGGAGCCCGGACACGGGCGCTCCACAGGTGAATCCATTGTTCGTTTACTTGAAAAAAGCTTTTCTTTTCTTTCTTTGTCCGTCTCTCTTCACTCAGTTACTTAATTCTGCTTCGCTGAAGAGAAAGGGATGGCAGTGAGATGCGCGTGCATTCAGGTAGGCCCGCCCAGGGGCCGGCTACGTTTAGGGAAGTCTCAGTGAAGGAATGCGTGCACGGATAGGATACACGGGAGTACCCATAAAGTCCAGTAGAGGACGGAGCCTGTGAGAGATATAACATTTATAACCTGTTAAGCCCCAAGCCTGTTTTCCAGGTCTCCGGCTCGAAAATGACATTCCCTGAACAAATGACAATAACTTCCCTTCTAAAAGGGGTAAATTAATAATCATTTTTCTCAAAGCAATGATAAACCTGTGAGTTGGATGTAGAAAAGTCAGAATCAATATAGATTTTTTTTATTTTAAAATAAATTCAGATTGAACATAGTAAAAAAAATTAGATGATAGTGTCCTTGCAAAAATAAACCATTACTTACAGTATAGTGAAAACCACCTTTGAATGATGGGATAGTAGACTAAAAGCTTTAGGAATCCAAACTATAACATATAATAAGTACCCTGTATCAACATTGATGCAAAACAAGTGACATTTGACCTTTTTAGAGAGGTTTAGCAAAAAGGTGGATGTGGGTATATTTGCCGTTTCTCTGGAACTCATTGGTCGATTTTGATGATTGACACCTCTTTTGAACCGTTAGAGCCAATAGAATTGAAGGGAAAGTTCCACATACACACACACATACACGTTCCATTGAGAAGTGAGAGCTATGCCCACGCAGTCGAAAGCTATCTTACGCTCTGAAATCTGAAAACTGAAAGCTAGGTTTATTGCTGATGGATTATCAGAAATCATTTCAAAGTGACAGACACATTGGATTAACCTTGGGTTAGGGTTACATCTATTTTTATTAGCAGTAAAACAGATACAACGCACAATAATCAAATGTACAGATAGATTCCACTAAAGCGTAATATTGTTATATTTCTTTTTTTAAATGTCTATAGGTATCATGATATTATTATCACTAATTCATTTGGTCACATCTGTTGTACAGTATAACCTCTTTTTATATTCTGATAGCCCTTTTTCAAGCTCTTAAAATATGCATCATATAACAAAGAGAAGCAATTATCTAAGAACTCCTCTCTCTTTTACTTCTTACAGATTTTACAGCTTGTCCTCTTATAACAACTCCATCACCAACAACTCTTCAACAACTTCCTTCAACAACTCCATCACCAACAACTCTTCCTTCAACAACTCCATCACCAACAACTCTTTCCTTCAACAACTCCATCACCAACAACTCTTCCTTCAACAACTCCATCACCACACCTCTTCCTTCAACAACTCCATCACCACAACTTTTCCTTCAACAACTTCCATCACCAACCAACTCTTCCTTCAACAACTCCATCGCCAACAACTCCATCAGCAACAACTCCATCAACAACTCCATCACCAACAACTCTTCCTTCAACAACTCCATCACCAACAACTTTTCCTTCAACAACTCCATCACCAACAACTCTTCCTTCAACGACTCCATCACCAACAACTCTTCCTTCAACAACTCCATCAGCAACCACTCTTCCTTCAACAACTCCATCACCAACAACTCTTCCTTCAACAACTCCATCAGCAACCACTCTTCCTTCAACAACTCCATCACCAACAACTCTTCCTTCAACAACTCCATCACCAACAACTCTTCTTACAACAACTCCATCACCAACAACTCTTCCTTCAACAACTCCATCACCAACAACTCTTCTTACAACAACTCCATCACCAACAACTCTTCCTTCAACAACTCCATCACCAACAACTCTTCCTTCAACGACTCCATCACCAACAACTCTTCCTTCAACAACTCCATCGCCAACAACTCTTCTTACAACAACTCCATCACCAACAACTCTTCCTTCAACAACTCCATCACCAACAACTCTTCCTTCAACAACTCCATCACCAACAACTCTTCTTACAACAACTCCATCACCAACAACTCTTCCTTCAACAACTCCATCACCAACAACTCTTCCTTCAACAACTCCATCACCAACAACTCTTCCTTCAACAACTCCATCACCAACAACTCTTCCTTCAACAACTCCATCACCAACAACTCTTCCTTCAACAACTCCATCACCAACAACTCTTCCTTCAACGACTCCATCACCAACAACTCTTCTTACAACAACTCCATCACCAACAACTCTTCTTACAACAACTCCATCACCAACAACTCTTCCTTCAACGACTCCATCACCAACAACTCTTCCTTCAACAACTCCATCACCAACAACTCTTCCTTCAACAACTCCATCACCAACAAGTAAGACTTAAAGGACAGTATTTTATAAAACAAAAACCAAATGACAATATTATTTACAAGTGAGACATCAACTGTATTATTTTTTCTTTAAAATTCTCTCCCTGCAGCTCCTCCTATTCTCTTTGAATACATCATTTTGGTTGAGTTGAACACCACAGATACTCTAATAAATCAACTGAGTACCATTCTGAGAAGCATCCGTTACCCCTTTATCCTCAACAACGCACAAATCCTTGATGTAAACATTTCTACAGGTGCAGATAAAATACTGTAAATATGTGAAATATGTGTTGGTGTTGTCAACCCTAAGTGTGAATCTAAAAGTTGCAAAACACACTTTACTAATATGACAGTTAGAAAAACTCATTACATGTGTGAAATTCATTGTGTTTTTGTTTGGTCTCAAGTTTGCTCTCCGAGCAGTTCTGGTTACCAGTGCAGATGTGAGGATCAGTATCGTTGGTCATGTGACCAGTGTTTACAGTATACATCCTGTGACAACATCACTGGGGACACATGTGGATGCATCAATGCCATTCCTCCTGATGGACAATACTGCCAGCCTTCTGGTCAAAACAGTAAGTTGGTCCTCAGTGATCGCTGCATTCTGGCCAGCATTTGATGTGCCTTATTGTCAAAATCTGTATCCTTAATTGCATGACAATCCCTGTGTCTTACTATGTAATTGCTTGCTTTTGGGTTGTCGAAAGACAGAAGCTTGCCTGAGTCAGAAGGACAACTTTGGAAACACTGCCATATGTTGTAGAGAATCTATAATTGTATGTCATTGTTTTTAACTCAAATGTACGTAAAAAGGATTAGGGCCACTTATGATGACCAAAAGTGATTTTTTTTTGTTTGTGCCGGTAGTCCCAATTATGATATTCAACTTTTTTTCTCCAACAAAAGCGAAAATCACCTGTGGGTCACATCAATCGTACAGTATGGGGAATTTCAAAAAATGTGATAGCTCTAGTTCTTAAAATATGCATCTTATCATATGCAGAAGCAATTAACTAAGAACTCCTCTCTCTTTTACTTCTTACAGACTTTACCCTTTGTCCTCTCACAACAACTCCATCACCAACAACTCTTCCTTCAACAACTCTATCACCAACAACTCTTCCTTCAACAACTCCAACACCAACAACTCTTCCTTCAACAACTCCATCAGCAACAACTCTTCCTTCAACAACTCCATCACCAACCACTCTTCCTTCAACAACTCCATCACCAACAACTCTTCCTTCAACAACTCCATCACCAACAACTCTTCCTTCAACAACTCCATCACCGACAACTCTTCTTACAACAACTCCATCACCAACAACTCTTCCTTCAACGACTCCATCACCAACAACTCTTACTTCAACAGCTCCATCACCAAAAACTCCATCACCAACAACTCCATCACCAACAACTCCATCACCAACAACTCTTCCTTCAACAACTCCATCACCAACAACTCTTCCTTCAACGACTCCATCACCAACAACTCTTACTTCAACAATTCCATCACCAACAACTCTTCCTTCAACTCCAACAACTCCATCACCAACAACTCTTCCTTCAACAATTCCATCACCAACAACTCTTCCTTCAACGACTCCATCACCAACAACTATTCCTTCAACAACTCCATCACCAACAACTCTTCCTTCAACACTTCCATCACCAACAACTCTTCCTTCACAACTCCATCACCAACAACTCTTATTACAACAACTCCATCACCAACACCCTCTTCCTTCAACAATTCCATCACCAACAACTCTTCCTTCAACAACTCCATCACCAACAACTCTTCCTTCAACAATTCCATCACCAACAACTCTTCCTTCAACGACTCCATCACCAACAACTATTCCTTCAACAACTCCATCACCAACAACTCTTCCTTCAACAATTCCATCACCAACAACTCTTCCTTCAACAACTCCATCACCAACAACTATTCCTTCAACAACTCCATCACCAACAACTCTTCCTTCAACAATTCCATCACCAACAACTCTTCCTTCAACGACTCCATCACCAACAACTCTTCCTTCAACAACTCCATCACCAACAACTCTTATTACAACAACTCCATCACCAACAACTCTTCTTACAACAACTCCATCACCAACAACTCTTCCTTCAACAACTCCATCACCAACAACTCTTCCTTCAACGACTCCATCACCAACAACTCTTCCTTCAACAACTCCATCACCAACAACTCTTCCTTCAACAACACCATCACCAACAACTCTTCCTTCAACAACTCCATCACCAACAACTCTTCCTTCAACAACTCTATCACCAACAACTCTTCCTTCAACAACACCATCACCAACAACTCTTTCTTCAACAACTCCATCACCAACAACTCTTCCTTCAACAACACCATCACCAACAACTCTTTCTTCAACAACTCCATCACCAACAACTCTTCCTTCAACGACTCCATCACCAACAACTCTTCCTTCAACAATTCCATCACCAACAACTCTTCCTTCAACAACTCCATCACCAACAACTCTTCTTACAACAACTCCATCACCAACAACTCTTCCTTCAACGACTCCATCACCAACAACTCTTCCTTCAACGACTCCTCACCAACAACTCTTCCTTCAAACAGACTTCCATCACCAACAACTCTTCTTACAACAACTCCATCACCAACCACTCTTCCTTCAACAACTCCATCACCAACCACTCTTCCTTCAACAACTCCATCACCAACAACTCCATCCACCAACAACTCTTCCTTCAACAACTCCATCACCAACAACTCTTCTTACAAACAACTCCATCACCACAACTCTTCCTTCAACACTCCATCACCAACAACTCCATCACCCAACAACCTCTTCCGTCAACAACTCCATCACCAACAACTCTTCTTACAACAACTCCATCACCAACAACTCTTCCTTCAACAACTCCATCACCAACAACTCTTCCTTTAACAACTCCATCACCAACAACTCTTCTTACAACAACTCCATCACCAACAACTCCATCACCAACAACTCTTCTTACAACAACTCCATCACCAACAACTCTTCCTTCAACGACTCCATCACCAACAACTCTTCCTTCAACAACTCCATCACCAACAACTCTTCCTTCAACAACTCCATCACCAACCACTCTTCCTTCAACAACTCCATCACCGACAACTCTTCCTTCAACAACTCTATCACCAACCACTCTTCCTTCAACAACTCCATCACCAACAACTCTTCATTCAACAACTCCATCACCAACCACTCTTCCTTCAACAACTCCATCACCAACCACTCTTCCTTCAACAACTCCATCACCAACAACTCTTCCTTCAACAACTCCATCACCAACAACTCTTCCTTCAACAACTCCATCACCAACAAGTAAGACTTAAAGGACAGTATTTTATAAAACAAAAACCAAATGACAATATTATTTACAAGTGAGACATCAACTGTATTATTTTTTCTTTAAAATTCTCTCCCTGCAGCTCCTCCTATTCTCTTTGAATACATCATTTTGGTTGAGTTGAACACCACAGATACTCTAATAAATCAACTGAGTACCATTCTGAGAAGCATCCGTTACCCCTTTATCCTCAACAACGCACAAATCCTTGATGTAAACATTTCTACAGGTGCAGATAAAATACTGTAAATATGTGAAATATGTGTTAGTGTTGTCAACCCTAAGTGTGAATCTAAAAGTTGCAAAACACACTTTACTAATATGACAGTTAGAAAAACTCATTACATGTGTGAAATTCATTGTGTTTTTGTTTGGTCTCAAGTTTGCTCTCCGAGCAGTTCTGGTTACCAGTGCAGATGTGAGGATCAGTATCGTTGGTCATGTGACCAGTGTTTACAGTATACATCCTGTGACAACATCACTGGGGACACATGTGGATGCATCAATGCCATTCCTCCTGATGGACAATACTGCCAGCCTTCTGGTCAAAACAGTAAGTTGGTCCTCAGTAATCGCTGCATTCTGGCCAACATTTGATGTGCCTTATTGTCAACATATTTATCCTTAATTGCATGACAATCCCTGTGTCTTACTATGTAATTGCTTGCTTTTGGGTTGTCGAAAGACAGAAGCTTGCCTGAGTCAGAAGGACAACTTTGGAAACACTGCCATATGTTGTAGAGAATCTATAATTGTATGTCATTGTTTTTAACTCAAATGTACGTAAAAAGGATTAGGGCCACTTATGATGACCAAAAGTGATTTTTTTTGTTTGTGCCGGTAGTCCCAATTATGATATTCAACTTTTTTTCTCAAGCTAAAACGAAAATCACCTTTGGGTCACATCAATCGTACAGTATGGGGAATTTCTAAAAATTTGATAGCTCTAGTTCTTAAAATATGCATCTTATCATATGCAGAAGCAATTAACTAAGAACTCCTCTCTCTTTTACTTCTTACAGACTTTACCCTTTGTCCTCTCACAACAACTCCATCACCAACAACTCTTCCTTCAACAACTCTATCACCAACAACTCTTCCTTCATCAACTCCATCACCAACAACTCTTCTTACAGCAACTCCATCACCAACAACTCCTCGTATCATAACTCCAACACCAACAAGTAAGACTTAAAAGACAGTATTTCATTTATTCATTTTGATCAGTTTGGATATTGTATCTTTAAGTTACAACACCTTCTTGTTTAATAGCGATTGTCTCAAAATGGCGCTATGGTAATGGCATTCCTTGTTATAGTAATAGTATGTAATCCCCAATTAAATAGGAATTATCTGCTGAGTGCAATGATGCTTTCCACAACAGTCTATGGCAAACGGTTCATGATATGTTAGGGGGCGTGGCAAAAGTGTGGGGGCGGGGCACATCGTTACTAATGCCACAGGAACTCACTGTCTACGACAATGGGTTCATGGTTCATTTGTTATGAAAGGGGTTGGGGGAAAACAACGATAGGTATCTGACTTCACCATGTTGGCAGATATTTTCTTAGTTGACTTGTCAGATTCATTCTTCAGCTTAACAAAAAATGATTGTAAAATGGTGTTTTTAGTCTCAATAACAGTCACTACGACCGGGGTGAACACTCCAACACCCACAATATCAGCAAAAACAAGTCAGTGCAAAATAATAATTGTTAGATTACTTTTCCGTGTTGTTTATCGTCTAAATTGACTTGTCAAAGGAATTCTTCATCTTAACAAACAATGGATATTGTTCTGTCTGTTAGGATCTGTCTGTGTTGTAGTTTTGTATGTCTGGTTATGGGTATTTTCATCCTTGTATATTGTCTGGTCCTTCTTCCTGTGTTTTTCCTCCCATAGTTAGTTTCCCTGGTGTGTCTAGTTGTCTGATTGTTTTCACCTGTGGCCCTTGTGTTTCTCCTCCCCTACCCGGCTGTTTCTCATCTTGTGATTACCCCTTCCTGTATTTAGTCTTGTCTCTTCCTGTGTTCAGTGTCGGTTCGTCTTGTGTTGTGAGTAAACTGCGTTGAGTGTTCTGTTCTGTCTCTGAATATTGTAGCCTTGAAATAAAGGAATTATTTTGTCACTTAAATCTGCATTTGGGTCCTGCTTCCTGCACACCGTAACATTA